TATCGAAGACTTACATCGGAAGGTCCCAATTCCCAGCAAGATTCTCCTTATCCTTGAAAAGAGATGTTGGATTTTTCCCTAAGAAGTTGGGAGTTGGATCAGAGTTCGAAAATTTCCCTGAACTGCAATTTATTTTTGCAGTATTTTCCCCAGTGAAGCGAGTTTTCATTCCCTAGTGGAGCATGCTTTCTAGAACAAGTGTCATCTTCTCCCCAGTATGGTGCACATGGGAGCACCAATTATAACTCCATCATCCCGGAATATGAAAGATTTTGTTGAGATGTCAGCGGTGGAGTTTCTGTCCTAGAATGTTTGGTTCTTCCCCAAGTGAAGATTTTTATCCCCCGACGTTGTTATCCCCAGTGTGGTCTGAGCAGAATTCTATTTATTTAAGAATTTCTATACTCCCCAGTAGAAGCTATCTTCGTAAAGAAGTTCTGCGCAGGAGAAAGCTTCCATCCCCAGCAAAGCTCTCCCCGTTCTAATAGAAGATAAAGTATCTATCCCCCAGGAATTTGGAAGTTTGATCAGAATTCAAGATTTTCTCTCAAATTGCAATTTACTTTTCGCAGTATTACTACCCAGGAAGTTATTTCTTCAATGTTATCAATCGTTCGAGGTTGATGGTTTCGAATCTCGATTTCCTACCGAAGTTCATATTGCATGTTCTCTACAGAAGATTAGATGTGCAAGAATAATCATTTGAAAGTTCATTGTCTTCCCAACATCCGATTATTGACGTGGTCTCCCCAGTGCATTACTAAACATGCATCATTACATTGCATCATTACATCGCATCTACTAAAACGCGTAGCATTTCTATTGTATGGAGCATTACGCTATAAAAAAAATTCAAACATGCATAAGTATAAGCCAATTATGTCCACTTGTGATAACCAGATTGTTATGCGCTCAGATTTGATTTATTTCCATAACAAGCCTAAGGGTGACTCTATTATGTTTCCCCAGCGGGGTTTGTTTTGATTCACCATCAGTCGGGTCTTTGGCATTCCTCCATCTCCCCAGTAAGTTTGTGGTTTGCGCTTGCCTTTACAAGCCTTTTGTTATTTTACCCGTGTTTGCTTTGCTGTTAGAGTGCGAGTAAGAGTCGGCGTATAGCCTTTCTTATTTCTCAAGTATTTGAGTGTCCATACTTGGTGTGTGGTAATTCAGATGATTGCCACTCTTGAAGAATTATACCCCGCCTTTGGCCTGAGGGATTTTTTTTAGTTCTTGCGTATTTGCAACCTATCGAAAGCCTAACATGTTTTTCTTCGTTAGAGTCTGCTTGGACCAGTCCCCTTCTCTTGCAGAGTACACATTCGATCGATGCTCTTTGAAGGTCCTGCTTAGTCGGTTCCTTGTTTTGGTTTATCCACGTTAGTCGGGTCCTCCTTTCGTTAGCCTAGCTAATCTTTTATGATTAAGAGTCTTTCAGTGTCTCTTCAAAGTCTAGTTGTCTAGCATCCTTATTTAGGTGAATTCACCTTTTTATTGGGGCTTTCTTCGGTTAATCTCGTTCCTGTGTTCGCTAGCAATTATAAACATTTGTTTCTCGATGATCAACTTCGCTCTTGTGTATCTAACTCTGACCAGACATGCATACCTGTATCTTTCAAAACCCCGCTTCGGCTAGGTATCTTTTGTCAAAATCCCGCTTCGGATGGTGTCATTTCTTTTAAATCCACCTTCGATTGACATCATTTGTCCGGAGTCCCATTCGTTTGGTCTCCTTCCTGAGTAAGTCCGCCTTCGATTGGTGTTTCTTTGCAAGAGCTTTCTTCGGTCTGTCTCTTTCGTACGTATCTGATACCAACCACGGATATGTATTTTCGATACCTGTTTCATATGTCTGCTACCAACCTCAGACATATGTTCTTGTATCTTTGACGTCTCTTTTGTGCGTATCCGATACCGACCACAGATATGTGTCTTTGATATCTCTTTTGTGCGTATCCGATACCGACCATGGATATGTATCTTTGATATCTCTTTTGTGCGTATCTGATACCGACCACGGATATGTATCTTTGATATCTCTTTTGTGCGTATCCGATACCGACCACGAATATGTATCTTTGATGTCTCTTTTATGCGTATCCGATACCGACCACGGATATGTATCTTTGATATCTCTTTTGTGCGTATCCGATACCGACCACGGATATGTATCTTTGATATCTCTTTTGTGCGTATCCGATACCGACCACGGATATGTATCTTTGATGTCTCTTTTGTGCGTATCCGATACCGACCACGGATATGTATCTTTGATATCTCTTTTGTGCGTATCCGATACCGACCACGGATATGTATCTTTGATATCTCTTTTGTGCGTATCCGATACCAACCACGGATATGTATCTTTGATATCTCTTTTGTGCGTATCCGATACCGACCACGGATATGTATCTTTGATGTCTCTTTTTTGCGTATCCGATACCGACCACGGATATGTATCTTTGATATCTCTTTTGTGCGTATCCGATACCAACCACAGATATGTATCTTTGATGTCTCTTTTGTGCGTATCTGATACCGACCACGGATATGTACCTTTGACGTCTTTTTCGTCCGTATCTGATACCAACCACGGATATGTATCTTTTCTATCTCTTTCTTACGTGTCCGATACCGACCACGGATGTGTATTTTTGATTTCTCTTTCTTGCATATCCGCTACCAACCCCGGATATGTGTCTCTGATATTTTTTTCGTATGTCTACTACAGGCTTCAGGCATATATCTTTTGATACCTCTCTTACAGGTGTTTGTTACTAAATCCCAATAGATGTTCCTTGATAACCAAGTTATTCCGCTGTGTGTCAAACCCTGGTTGAACATACATCTAACCTGATAACCCCTTTTACCTAGCAAGAAAAAAAAATAATTAAAAAAAAAAAACCAAAAATGATACCTGACTGGCTCCGGAGCGCAAATTTTTGGGTTCTTTTAAGTATTTAATCTTCTTCCACCTTGAAAGTTCGAAAGGCTGGCGCCAATCTCACCTTCAGGTTGAAGACGATTAAATAGGGGCAGCTGTTGCACCCCAAAATTTGCCCTCCGAATTTCCTTTATTTTTGGCTTAGACTTTTGCATTCATCTGCATCTTTTTCATTAGGTCACTAACGTGGCATACATTTCATTCAATATAGCTCTGAGGTTCAAAGTTCAGTGGTTGTGCGATACTAGGGTTTCACAGTGGTTAATGCGCTCGTATCCAATAAAGGGTGATTTCTTATTCATGCAGCAAGCTTTGGAATTAGGTTTTTTAGGCTCATTTCTGGACTTCCTCTCCACCAAGTTACTGGGCTAATATCTTTTGATGAACAACTGGTTGTAGGTCATTCTGGTCAAGAACTCTAGGACGTGACCTAGCATATGTGAACTTTGAAGCATGGCATCCTTTCCTATAAGTATGCTTGTCATTTGATTAGGATTAATGACTGTGACATGACATTCATCTACTCCTCAGTTAATCCATTTAGGTTTTGTTGAATCATGGTTCAAAGATGTTTTATCCGGATATTTCTCTGTGCGTCTGAACGAGGAATCAAGATTGTGAGGGTTTCACATCAAGGGAATTCTTCTGTGACTCAGACTTTATCATCCATCTGTAAGATGTTCCTTATGACACTAATCTCAAGTTGAAATAACTGATCGCTAAGGGCTGAGGGTTGAATTGTGAAGCGTGGTTCATGACCTAAGATATGAATTCATAGATTTCTCCTTAACCAAGGCAATCATTGTCCTCATCATTATCATTTGTTATCTGCGATGCGAGTAGGTTTGGATTGAAGTGGGTTTCTCATAGAAGAATTCATGCAAGGTAATTCAAGATTCAAGGCATTCAAGGCAGGGTTTGTTCAACATGGCATACCTGGTTGATGGGCTTACAAGCTCTTATGAGACCTTTAGATGCATAATCATGGGCCAAGTTCAAAGATACGAGGATAAGATCTGTTGACTTCAGTTAAAGTAAGCTTTGAACAATTAACTTTGGGGCCAAGGTCTCCCTTGAATTTTCATCTAATATGTGTTGGGAATTCGAGTTGCATTTGAAGAATAGTATGGTAAAGGAAATGAAATATTGGTTCAGAAAAGGAAGATTTCATTAAAAATCAGGGTTTCTATTCATTGATAAATGTTCAAGTAATTGAAGATCAGGGGAAATAAAGTTTCATGTTAATCTCGATCATGTTCTTTCATTATCATTTGTGTACATCTTTGATGATCAGAGGTCGTCAATTAGAGAAGGACTTTGTCAAGATAAGAGACTTGTGGATTAAAGGTCGTCAAGGTTGTGAATTTTTAGGATCAAGATCTTATTGGCTATTCGAATTATTTGTCATTCAAGTTGATTTGGGATTCAAGATTGAAGTTAGGAATTCATTGAGAATGCAAGTGTGATTTGGATTTGAAGTTAGATTTAAATTCAAGATGTTCGAAAGTGTTTGACTGGATTAAAGTCGGCAAAGAGTCTTAAGTATTGTTCATATGGCTTTCTTGGAAGGTAAAGTACAGACTGCGAGGTTTTGTTTCAAGTCAGAGTTCATACGCATTACAAAGATGTTCACTGTTATTTCAGATTCAAGTTCACAATGCGTTCAAACATTGATTCAAGAAAATACTATCCAATTCCATTCAATTTCATTCTCATTCATGGTTCAAGAAAATACTATCCAATTCCATTCAATTTCATTCAATTGTAACAACACCCCACAAGAAAATTTGATGCTTTCATATCTACAAGCATTTTTTCAAGACTTTGTCATTTAAACTCCGTCCAAAAAAAATCCATCACCCGACATTTCAAGCTCAAAGTCATTAATAATTCACACTATAAATTTCAAGTTCATCCAAATCAAACATTCATTATAAAATCATTACAATCCCATTACACCAATATTCTACAAAGAAAAAAACTGTTACAAAATACACTTGAACAAAATTCTTTAGTCCTAAAGGTGCTAAAATTCCATGAGTAAACTTCTAATTCCATGCCATGCCAAAGTTCTTCATCTTCAGTTCATGACCTGCACATTCATACAAAAAAAATCCAAGTCAATACAAGCAATCATACAAAAATACCCCCATTCCCACCGCTACCCTCATTTCACACAGTATCACAAAAAAAAGCTGCCTCCTCCTCGACATCAGACAATAATAGCTCATTCAGAGGAGATGAAGACGAGCATGTGGAACTGCAAGCTCCCTTTTCAGATTCTCAATCTACTGGAAAATCCTCTAAGTCAAATGTAAATAGTTCTTCCATGAAAGATAAATCTTATTTACCTCACTATGATTCATTGAGCACTGTGGTTGAAAATGTACAATCAGAACCTATTTTATTCTCAACTACTAAATATCATGAAGCAGAGATTGAAGGCTTGCCATCCAACCAGCTTCCAGAAATTGTTGAGTTTCAAAATACAGATAATAGAAAGTTTGTCATGTCTGATGATGCCCATGTTCATGAAGAAGGGGTTTCTGACTCTCGGCAAACAAATTCTGAGCTGTTGACTTCAGGAAAGATGTTGTGTTCTGATCTTGAACCTACCAAACCAGTGACGCTACCTGCAGTGATTCAGTCAGAATCTACTAGTTATGGCCAGAATGATCTTATACAGAATGACACAAATAGTTTTTCATCTACACCTGATAACAAGTTGGAGTTTGAAACTTATTTTGAGCCACACTTACAATGTCAACTTGGTGAACAGGATGGAGAGTTTCCACTCAATTACGAGGAAAACTTTGGCTCTGAGAAATCTCAATCTCAGCAGATGCATATAAATCAAATGAAGCAAGAAGGCACTCATGCTACTTCTGAATCTGTCTCAAACCCCTGCAGATGAATCACCGTCATTTTGTTCTTCACCACAATCATCTGGCCCAGAAATTAACCCTACACAATATGTCACAGATCCGTTGAAGCCTCTTCTCCCTGACCACTTTCCTAAGGAAACTGAAAACAAACTTGATGGGATGCCACCTATGCCTCCTCTACCTCCTATGCAATGGAGAATGAGCAAGGTTCCACATGCTTCCCTAGATTCAAACAGAGAGGAGTTAGAAGTGGATCCGTCTCAAGGGCAACTATTAAAGCAACTAGTTCAGCCCTGCATAGAAAGATTAAAAAGCAAAAATCAATAAACAGTTAACAGTTCAATTCTAAGAAATTGTAACAAAGCAGAATTCTAATTTTCTCTCTAACAATTAAACTAACTTCTACTAACTAACTGTAAACAGAATTAACATAATTTCTAACTTTCCGAACTGTCACAACTAACGAGCCAATAACATAACCTTCAGCTTAGCAAACTAACCAATTCTTAACTGCATCCTAACAAACTCTTAACAAACTGCCAAAACAGAAATTCATAATTCCAAAACAACCAATCCATAACTAACCTTTTCCTAACTGTTTTTAACTAACTTCTAACGACTTTCAAACGGACAACTAACTACTAACTGCAAACAGAATTTCAATACAACTGACTTGTAACCATAACTAATCCTAACCTACATAACTGAATTTTCTAACTAATTCTAACAGATTTATTAACTTCCTAACCGCTTAACTAACTCTTAATCAACTCTCAGCAATCTATATAACAGAGTTTCAGTTTTCAGATTAAGGGGGATTCATATTCATTATTTTTTTCTCAACTCATGCATAATAGATTTAACTATAGAAACTTACCAATTCACTTTGATTCTTAAAAATCTCTGCAGAAGAATCACCAAGAAAACTTTCTCTCCTCCTCTCATCCTCATCTTCATCATTCTTCAACACTCCTTGGAGAATCACCAAAAAGAGATCTGAAAATTCTCTCTCTCTCTCTCTCTCTCTCTCTCTCTCTCTCTCTCCCGCTGCTTCATTCTTCACATTCTAAAGAACCATACAAGAAAAACCAGAAACTTCACTCTTCATTCTCTCTTCAACCTTCATTCACCGGCAAAAGCTCCCTCCAATCTTATACAACATCAATTCTGCAGCGCACACCATCATCATCACTACGAATCTGCAATAATATCGCAACAACATAGAAATGGAATAGGAAAGGAAGGAATTTTTTTTATCAAGTCACACACAAAGATGCATTGTTTTTTTTTATTCAGAGAAAGACAAAAAAAAAACTTACCAATTCATCCAAGCCTACAATTCTGCAGAAGAACCTCCACAAACCCCTTCCTTCATCACCCTCCTTCTTCTTCAACAATCTTCATCTCTGTTTCAAGCACCATTTCAACCTCCTTCATCTCCCCTTCAAACGCAATCGCAATATCAGTAAGAATGCACAATTACATCAATATAGCGGCAAAGCAAAAATGCAGAAGAAAATTGGGGATGGGAAGAAGGTTTACGAGTTGTAATTTAAACAAAAGGAAGAAGAGCGAATCCGATGGTAATCGTACCTGGAGCGAGAGTCATCCAATGTTCTATCCTTGATCGTTGTTGTCAAAAACTTCCTCTGCTCCCTCCTCCGTTGTGCGATCTACCTCCACGCTTCAAGTACATGTAAACGAGAACTCGAGAAACGAATCTCCGAAATTCTCGAACACGTATCAATCAACGACCTCCTAGTTCTCTCATTCACCTATGACGGCGAGAGGCTTCTAGATCTTGACAGCATTCGCAGAATCATCTCCACTTTCGTGGAAAAGGATGAAAGCACTATGGTGATCGGTGGACGGAGATGAGAGACTGTGAACTTCCGCTGCCGTAAGAGAAGAGAGAAGAACGGAGTTTGTTTCGAAGAACCTCCGCCGCCGACAATTTCACCCTAAACCCTTTTAAATTTTCCTATTTTTTCTTTTTTAGTTTTGATTATCTTATTGTTTTATTATTTTTAATTCAAATTGATAATAATTATAACTAATTAAATAATAAATAAAATGTTGAAAATCTTTTTGGGCAAATTACTTCAGCACCCATATTTCTAGACTTCATACCCCCTAACTCTTCTAATTTTTTCTTTTCTTTTATTATTTTAGTTTTTTCTTTTAGTTTAATTTTCTCTCTCAATTGATAATGAAATGATACAAAATAATAGAATATTTTAGAATTCGTTAGAATTTCTTTTTAGAATTTCGATTAGAATTTTTTACTATTTTATTTCTCATATTTGGTAATCATTTTTATTGCCACTTTTTAGTCAAGATTTTTGTGATAGCATCGACATAACTCTGGCAGTGTGGAATAGTCGGGGTTAATTCTTCAATCACTTGCCCAAGGGAACGTTGATATAATTTCCTTACCGCTTGCACAATTTTGAAGAGGCAACGGACCTTCTCCGTTCGGTATCGTCACAACTCTATTTTTACTCCTGCACTTTACTACTTTCTAGGTAGAATTCCCTCAAGATTCTAACTTTAGGTCTAATACACGATAACATTAGATTTAGAAATAGGCTAGTCTTCCTGTGACTTTCGTCTTCCTGTGACTTTCGTCTTCCTGTGACTTTCGTCTTCCTGTGACTTTCGTTTTCCTGTGACTCTCGTCTTCCTGTGACTTTCGTCTTCCTGTGACTTTCGTCTTCCTGTGACTTTCGTCTTCCTGTGACTTTCGTCTTCCTGTGACTTTCGTCTTCCTGTGACTTTCGTCTTCCTGTGACTTTCGTCTTCCTGTGACTTTCGTCTTCCTGTGACTTTCGTCTTCCTGTGACTTTCGTCTTCCTGTGAATTTCGTCTTCCTGTGACTTTCGTCTTTCTGTGACTTTCGTCTTCCTGTGACTTTCGTCTTCCTGTGACTTTCGTCTTCCTGTGACTTTCGTCTTCCTATGACTTTCGTCTTCCTGTGACTTCCGTCTTCCTGTGACTTTCGTCTTCCTGTGACTTTCGTTTCTTTTTCTCGCAAACTTCAAAAATATATAAAAATTTACTGACGAGAATCATATCTTCGTTAAGTATGTGAGACGATAAGCGGGTCTCTTCTCGACCTTATTGATCTCTTATTCTAAGCTTTGGTGTGGTTTAAGTCTCAAAGACTCATTTCATGAATAAGTAGAGAAATGGCTAAAATCTCTCTCTTGAGGTTAACTAGCTATTATCTACAAGCAAAAATACCAACAAATAAAAATCTTTTTGCCCTCGGGCCTTTCTTTCAAACCCTTTTCAAGAGAGCATGTTAATTCACTTCTGTGCTGACGCGTAAGTCTCCAAAGGTCGAGTTGCGGCAGAAGGCGAGATTAATATTTTTCGTTAAAGAAAATACAAATAAACAAAAACATATAAGCCGAACTACGGCTGCTCTGATTCCTTAAAAGGATACGTAGGCATTGGGGTAGGGCCCAGGCGAGCACAATTTTATTTTCCCTACATTCTTTTCTCCTTTCTTTTGCATGCATTCCTCCAGTAGTATAATAAACAGTAAGCATAGATTAAACACACCCATAAGATAGACAACAAGAGTGGATACCGTAGAGTACTACGGGCGTGTGGGGTGCTAATACCTTCCCCTCGCGTAACAGACTCTCTTACCCGATCTCTCAATCGCAAGACCGTGACTTCTCCCTCATCAGGTTTTCTCGATGTTTACCTTTCCCTACATGTGGGATAAAAGACGTTCGATGGCGACTTCATTGTTTGATGATTTTCAGCCGGTTGTTTCAACTGGCTACCAATGTGCCCTTCTTCTTTACAGTTGAAACAAACCACATTATTGTGCTCACACTCAGATACAACATGTCCATTCTTGCTACAACGGAAACACCTCTTCACTTCAGTAGTGCATACATTACTCTTGTGCCCAGGTTTCCCACACTTAAAACAAATCACACCAGCAGAAGCATCTCCCTCACTAGTCCTCTGACCATGAGCAACTCTCTGCTTACCCTTACCAGTTGGGGCATCATAGGGTTTACCACGACTCTGCAGGTGCTTACCCCTCTTATCACTAATAATCTTGTAATGAGCATTGTTATCTTCCTCATAAATTCTACAGCTATCAACCAAATCAGCAAAGACACGGATCTTATGATATCCAACTGCCTTCTTAATCTCTGGGCGCAACCCATTCTCAAACTTAATACACTTCGAAAACTCAGCATTTTCCTCAGCGTAATGCGGATAAAACTTGGCCAACTCAGCATACTTGGCAGCATACTCAACAACTGACAGATTCCCTTGCTTCAGCTCAATGAACTCAATTTCCTTCTTACCACGAACATCTTCAGGAAAATACTTTCTCAGGAATTCCCTACGGAACACAGCCCAAGTCACATTCTCACCTGCAGCTTCTAACTTCTGGCAAGTCTCTAGCCACCAGTCATCAGCCTCGACTTCTAGCATATGAGTCCCATAACAAACCTTCTGCGCTGGTGTGCACACGCGAAAGATTCTCTCTATCTCTTTCAACCATTCCAAAGCTCCATCAGGATCATACTTTCCCTTGAACGTAGGTGGATTCTCTCTCTGGAAAGTCACCAAGCTACGAGATCCAGCATTCTGATGATTTTCCATCGCATGAGCCATTGCTTCTAGAGCAGCAGCAAGAGCAACATCATTCCTACCATCCATCTCAACTTCTTACTACAACATAAACAACTGTTAGAACTCAAAATAACAATACTCGATTGTTAGACAACTAAGACTCAATGGCAAGGTCGGACCAACCTTTTGCTCTGATACCAACTTTGTAACACCCCAATTCTACCCCAAGCAAATATGCAATTAAATCAGAGTTACAAAATTTCAATCATACAAATGAATAGGGACGTCATAAATTCTTCTAACAAATTCATTGCATTCATCATGGATATATAACACTTATAATAAAACATCGGATGAACCATCAACATAGCATCTTTAATAAAATAATTCAACAACTATGCGGCGGAATTTTTCAATAACA